CTGGTGCTGGTCAGCCTCTAAGCAGAAGCCATGATGTGCAGTGACCTCATTGCTGTTGGGAAGCCATACCCAAACTCACTAGCCTGGTTTGCACATCAGCCTTTTACACAATCACCAGCATGCACAGTGAATCACATCCTACAAGTCCAGGGAGTTTGTCCGAGAAAAGACCTCAAATCTGGGCTTTAATAAATGGAATTAAAATCCTTTCCTTGGGGTTATTTCTCTCTCATCCCTTCTTTCTTCCTTTCCTCCTTCCTGTGCACCCTCTTTTACCAAACCTGCCAGGTGGTTGGCTTTCTGGCCGTGCAGTGCAGTGCAGTGCAGTCCCGCATCCCTGGCAGGCTGTGCCCCGGTGTCTGTGCAACCAGAGCCATTTGCAGCCCTGCAGAGCGGTTTGCAGCAAGGGGCAGAGGCAGGAGGTACCTCCTGCACTGCCTCCGGTGATCGCCCTCTGCGGGCAAGGGCAGTATAGGCTGCTCAATAAAAACCTCATGTATACCTAGAGAAATCATTACCTCCAGTAACATGGCTCAGCGCCAGCCCTGGGGTGGGCATCAGGGGTGTCGCCCGGCGACCGCTCACCCTTCCAGAACTCCCCCAGCCCTGTCACCAGGGATGAAGCCCCATGAGCCCTGCCCCACGCCATGGGACCTGGGACCCAGCCCAGGCAGGGAGCGCTGCTGCTGTGGCTGTGCTTTTCAGGGACAGCCCCTTGGGGCTTGTTTTCTGCTTCACCTGAAAATTATTCCTGGAAGCAAGTCTACCATCAGGAGTATTTTTTATATTTTAAGCTCATATTGCAGGATATTTGCACAGACAGAGAAATATCACCTTCTCACTGAGAATAATAGCAGAACTGTTTCCAATGCCTCCAGCCAGGCAAGGATGCAATGCCGTGAACAAAAATTAAGTAAATTTGTGTCCAAAATGCTTTTAACTTCTAGAGGGAATTGCCCATGAATAAGTGGCAAACCAAGAATTATCACACGGATCAATCAATGAGCAGAGGCAAGCAACATATTACACATTTGTACTGGGTTAGAAGCTGTAAAGACAATTAGTAAGAGAGTCTTCCAGTCAAGGCAGTAAAAAGAAATATGAACATGCTCATTTTCCTCAGGTTTCTGGCAAGGACCAGAAGAGGTTTTCTGTTCGCCTCAGAGTGGTCAGCACTTGCTCCTGGCATGTCGGCATCTCCGGCTGAGTCAACGAAAGCCACTTCTGCCCCAAGGGCTGGTACCACTGCACAGCTGAACCGGGGCCTGGCCACACAGCAAGGCAGAGGCGTTTATTCACTCTTATCTTACCATTCTGGTATCTCTTTGTTTTCGGCCATGAACACTAATAAACCCAATGAAAATCTGAAAATCACTTAGAAGAGGAGCAGTGGAAGGAATCTCCCCCTTATGGGAGCATTTGCTTTAATTTAAACTATCTAAAGATAATAAATAACAGGGCTCCATAATGACATAATTTTCTCATCTTCTTTGTTTCAAAGTATTTTTTAACAAGCAAAATAAGGTTTCAAACATGTCTGTGATATCTCCTCTGGATTAAATATTAATCGTAATGCCAAAGTAATAAATACAGAAATCCTGTCTGGTTGTTCTGACATGCTAGTCCCTAATTGTGTGGGAAGCTGCTCAGATGG